CCCCTGCATGGGCAGGGACACCTCCCACCAGCCCAGGCTGCTCCAAGCCCCATCCAACCTGCCCTTCAACACTGCCAGGGATGGGGCAGCCACAGCTTCCCTGGGCAACCAGGGCCAGGCTCTCACCACCCACACCCAAGAATTTCCTCCTCATGTCCAACCTCAGTCTCCCCTCTCCCACTTTTAATCCATCCCCCCTTGTCCTCTCCCTCCCTGCCCTTGTCCCAAGCCCCTCCCCAGCTTTCCTGGAGCCCCTTCAGGCACTGGAAGCTGCTCTAAGGTCTCCCTGGAGCCTTCTCTTCTCCAGGCTGAACACCCCAACTCTCCCAGCCTGGCTCCAGAGCTGCTCCAGCCCAAGGATCATCTCTGTGGCCTCCTCTGTCCTCTCTCCAGGAGCTCCATGTCCTTCTCATGTTGGGGCCTCCAGAACACAAGCAATGGGGTTACCTATTTCATAAATACATTCTCCTCTTCTCAAAGCCAATGGCAGAAACAACCAGCACAATGTCACCACCAGGCTCACCAGGGAAGGGTTTGTTCTCTGCCAAAACCTGCTTTTGTTTTCTTTTCACTTGGGGGTCACCAAGACTTGGCACTCAACAGCCTGCAGCCCTCCTTGCAAATTAATTTGATTAATTAACCTGCCCTTCAAAACTTCCAGGGATGGGGCAGCCACAACATTCCCTGGGCACCCCCTTCCTCACCACCCTCACCCTCCAGAATTCCCTTGATGACATCCTTCCCAGCAGCTACATCCCGGGCATTTATTTAACTAGGTATTCAAACCCATTTTTTCCCCCAGCATTTTTCTTGCTTCCAATGAGAAATAATAGGTTTCAGTGAGAAAAAAAGACTCACAGCTTTCTGTTGCCGTGTCAGTTTCCTTTATTTTAGGAGCCCAGGGTTATCTTTCTGCAACAGAAAAGGCTGCTGGTGATGGAATGGCAGTCCCAGTGTGTCTCCCAGCTGGCCTGCTGGCAGGTGAGTGGCTTTGTCTCTGGATTTGGGAAGTGCCATATGTAACATTATGCAACCCCTCTTTTGAAGACTTCCATATTCTCAGTTAACACCTCTAGAAACTCAGGAGTCTGTGCAATTGTAGCACCCAAGTGTTTCTGTTTCAGACCCTCTTGCAGACTGGTTTTGCACAGCAGAGAGGGATGTTATCATAGTCCAGGTGAGAAACTGAGGCAAGAGGGAGCAACCTCTTTTGTTTGGTAACACTTCAGACATCAGGATGCTTTTCTGCTTGCTTGAATACAGCTGAACGTCAGGTTTGGGGTCAGAAAGAGGTAATACCAGTCCCAGTTGGTTTGCAACTCCCAGGGTTTCCTGCTCCTTGTAGAGGAGGCAGCCAAGGAGCTACACCCATATCTTCATATCCTGCAGTCGTCAGGCTAAGTGTATGTTCCCTTACCAGGACACTAATTGCTGATAGGACCTGAGATGGGATTCTCTTTCTGGCAGTGGTGAACAAAATCCTCTGAGGATTACAGGGGACTCTGTGTTTATTGCTAATAGGTTTCTAGGAGCAACCAGTCCCATCTACCTGTCCCACTGTTTAAAGAAAAGCAATCCTAATTGGCTCTTGGGTTGAGGGGGGCTGTATTTTGTGGCTGCCCCATCCCTGGCAGTGTTGAAGGGCAGGTTGGATGGGGCTTGGAGCAGCCTGGGCTGGTGGGAGGTGTCCCTGCCCATGGAGGGGAGTGGAACTGGATGATCTTGAAGGTCCCTTCCAACCCAAACCATTCTCTGATTCTGCTCCTTGAAATCACAGGGATATCTGAATGCTGGAATACAAAGAACAGGAAACTGGTGTTTCTGCACATTGTACAGCTTTGTCACTGCTACACATCTGTTTCCTTCCCACATCCAAACAGTTTCTCACTCATTGTGGCAGTTTTGTCTCTTGGATTATTCCATGTTGTTTCCACATAGCCTTCTGTTACATATTGCATGTTGGACTTCTGATTGACAACTGGAAGATAAACACATTTATTACTGGTTTTGTAAAGGGAGGGAGCTGTGCCTGCCTGAAATACATATTACTTAGAATGTTGTAGAAAAAGAAAAGGTACATGCATTCCTAGAAATTGTTAGGGCATCCACCACAGCAAAGACTGGTGTGATCTAATGCAGGTTACACAATGTCCAGGGCACTAGTTTGTTGTAGAAATGATTTAAATACCTCATATTTCAAAATATTTGAAAAGAAAGGGAAGTTTTAACAGTATTTTTACAATAATAATGAGCCTCCTTCTCTTGTACCACCGTTTATGTGCAGCAAGAAACAATGGTGTTGGCAAAGGTCCCTCATTCTTGCCATGTGCATGTTGCAAATTCCTCTCAATAGTAAGAGTAGCTGAAGTCTGCCCTGGCTATGGTTAGTAGCAATGCTCCAACAGGGATTAGTTTATGTTGGTTAAAGCTTTTTACCACGTTCATTTGTCTCATGGCCTGGACTGTCTTCATTTGATTTGGATTTGTAACTCTCCAGTGTCTGCTCTGAAACATCATTTTCTGTGCAGAAAACAAATGTAATTAGGATGGTGGGATTTTTTTCATGACTCTTCTTCACTCTCTGCCTTGAGCATAAAATTCTGAGTGACTACTTATAAAATGGGGGTTCAATCATAGCATCACAGAATGATTTGGGTTGGAAGGACCTTCAAGATCATCCAGTTCCAACCCCCCTGCATGGGCAGGGACACCTCCCACCAGCCCAGGCTGCTCCAAGCCCCATCCAACCTGCCCTTCAACACTGCCAGGGATGGGGCAGCCACAGCTTCCCTGGGCAACCTGGGCCAGGCTCTCACCACCCTCACACTCCACAATTCCCTCCTCATCTCTCACCTCAATCTCCCTCTTCCAGTTTTCATCCCTTCCCCCTTGTCCTCTCCCTCCCTGCCCTTGTCCCAAGCCCCTCCCCAGCTTTCCTGGAGCCCCTTCAGGCACTGGAAGCTGCTCTAAGGTCTCCCTGGAGCCTTTTCTTCTCCAGGCTGAACACCCCAACTCTCAGCCTGTCTCCAGAGCAGAGCTGCTCCAGCCCTCTGATCATATTCATGGTCCAGTCATCCTTACTATCTAAGATATATGCTTAAAACAACACTTTCATTGGCTTGTGTGGCTCCTGTTGTCAGGAGAAGCAAGGCCTGGGGCCATCAGTCACAGGGACCCTTCAAAAGTTGTTTGTAACAAGTCCCAGCCACTGCCTATGGGACGAGGACATTCATTTGAAGGGCTGGAACTCCTGTGTCTTCTCTCTGCTTAACAGGCTCCTCACCTCACCTATCCAGCCCCTTGGAATAAAGCAGCACCAGCTCAGAAAGCCTCATCACCTACCTTTCTTCCACACTCCATGAGCTTTTTTCAGCTTCCTCATAAAAAGCAGGACAATGATGAGCATCACAAAAATCAGAGCAGTCACCAAGATAGGCAGCAGGAGATGATTCTCCTTCTTTTGGAAGCTTTCAGAGTTCAGGTCTTTCTCTGTAAAAGAGGCAGATGTATGTTTGTGTTGTTAAACAGTTTCCTGTGAGCCTCTGGTAACTAAGACAAGAACAACACATCCCAGACCAGGGCAGATGAACATGGTGGGAGTGCAGAAGTCACCTTATTTGACTTCATTTGAGATAATTTTTTGCTACTTACATGAACAAGAAAAACTGGTTGAAATCAGTAAACTCATGCCCTGGCCCAACAAACTGTAAAATTTAGCTGCTTTTTTTTTTCCTTGGTGCCCCAAATGGTTGTGTTTCTGTGGTCTCTGCCCAAGATTGCAAGCACCACTCACATCATTACCATTATGTGGTCAGAGAGAACCAGCTTGGTGTAAAAAAAGCTCACTGGATGTTTGGAAGCTGTCAGGGAAGAGTACTCAGGAGTTCATACCACAGGTGATGGCAGGAATCACTGTCACATTTTCACTTGGTGATGTGGGTTCTGTCCTGGGAAGTTCCTCTTCTGTGGTGTTGCCTCTGAGTGCTGCTTCAGTCCCTGGAGGAATGGAAGAGAGAACAGTATTTGTCTGAGGGGCAAAGGGATGCTTAAGAAATCAGTTTTCCCAGCAGCTCTGAAGTTTGAGGCACCTGGTGCTGCATCAGAAGGGGAATTCTGGAGCCCCAGACCCAGAGCTCTGTGCCCACTGCCCTAACATGCTGGTTTGTTTTCAGAAACAGAAACTCCTCAGTCTCTTACACATGGTTGAACTCAACAGTTCTCGTTTGCAGCCACATGAAACCAGTACTCTTTGTTCATTTTGGGACTTTCCCTGTCCATCAGTTTGCTTTGCTTGCTTGCATATCTCCTCTTCCTAAAGCCAGGTTGGGTTTTCTTGGCATTAATATCCCTGCTGAGCTCAGGTCATACCCTTGGGTACATGATGACTCCATGAACCAACCAATTCTCTATTTCCCTCTGCATCTGATGTTACTTCAGACCCTGCACAAACACAGGGGTGAGCTCTGACTTTCTCTCACACACTGACAATAGTATAATTAATATTAATTTGTAAAACTAGAAGGATAAAGTCAGCTGTGCCTACAAAAGCTTTCCATTCATGAGAGGTTTTCTTCCTTACCAGGTATGTCAGCACACCCAGTGAAAGTCCTGTTAAGAGTCAATCTTTCCATGCATGTTTATCAACATTCCTATGAATTATCAGGATGTAGCCACTGTGTAACTTTTTAAATCACTGATGTAGCACTTTTTAAACAAACATAAGCCAGCAGTTTGTGTGTTTCAGGATGTGACCCTTCTGTAATGTGTGTAATCACGGCTGGAGCAGTTTTAAAAGACTATAAACAAAGAGCTGGTGTATTTCTGAAACAGCCAATTGATTTTTCACTGCAGGGTCTGTCACAGCGGTTTTCCCACCTCGGTGGGTTTTGGCCAACGGATTTGGGCAGGTGGAGCTCTTCATTCTGCTGGAAACAACTCCTGGCTTCCAGAGCTGCTCAGGGAAGTGTTGTTGGACACTGCCACCTACAGCAACCGGCCCGAGAAATCCCAGCCCTGGTTCCCACCGTCGGTCTGGCTGCTAATTGCTGCTGTGCTTCTGCATCTAATGAGGCTTTCATGGCTGTAGAACACAAGCTGCCCACACAAGCAAGAAATGCTCTGGTTTATGTTACATGTTGGTTTGTATTTCTGTCCTGGTTCGGTAAATTCAGGTAACTGTGACTAAACTTACAAGCAGATGTGACATTTGGCTGGAGGTTTTGCTGAGTTGGTGTTGATGTTGAGCTGGCACCTACTGAATCCTCTGCTGCTGCAGAAGGGCTGGTTGGTTGTTCAGATCCTAATGGAAACATCCAACCCCAAACACAGGACAAAGATCAGAAGACACATTTATCTGTTCTCCTTGAAAAATGAAACCTGCCCTTTTTACTCCACACTCCAGGCTGTTCAGGTGCTTCAGTAGATCAATGGTTAGACTGACAGCTCCACCTTCAGCTTCACTGTCTTCTGAATACATTTAATGACATGAAATAAGGAAAAAAGAGAAAGTGAAAGTCTTACCAGCCTGTGGGTTGTAGCTGGGAGTGGAGGCTGTGCTGCTGCTCCGCTCTGACGCTGCTGTGGTCCCTGGGGAAAGAACCAAAGTGGATCTGTAGGCTGTGCAAAGTGTCCCTCGGTGTGGTGGCAACTGGTGGGAGGTGCAGTAATTCAAGAGGCCAAGCAGCTAATGCCTACCTGTAGACTGCTCCTTCTCAGAGACACGTGTATCCACCTCTGGCATAGTTGGTGTAGGATTTGGTTTTGTCGCTGGAAAAAAACCAACACCAGCACAACTGTCAGAGCACCTTGTGAACATTTGTTGAATCAAGGAATCTAAGGAAGAATTCTAACAAACTGATCTGGGTGTGAAGTGATAGGATGAGGGGCAATGGTTTCAAGCTGGGAGAGGGGAGATTGAGGTGAGAGATGAGGAGGAAACTGTGGAGTGTGAGGGTGGTGAGAGCCTGGCCCAGGTTGCCCAGGGAAGCTGTGGCTGCCCCATCCCTGGCAGTGTTGAAGGGCAGGTTGGATGGGGCTTGGAGCAGCCTGGGCTGGTGGGAGGTGTCCCTGCCCATGCAGGGGGTTGGATCTGGATCATCTTTCAGCTCCCTTCCAACCCAAACCATTCTAGGCTTCTATGAAATAAGAACAGTTAGATAAATCCTAAAGATGAGTGAATAGGTGGAAGGCAAACTTACTCTGAGAATTATGAGACAAACAGCTTCAGTGTTAATTTACAATATTCACACTCTGCTGTCTTTCCAGGTGGATGTCTCTATCATGCAGAAGACATGGGAAGCTCACAGACTTTTTTTTTAGAACATAAAATTTGAGTTATCTTGAAAGTTTTAGGACAGACACCACCTGAATCTTAGCAGCAGCACTGGGGAACTGACCTGCCTGGGCTGCTGTGGCTTAATGTTTAATGAATTTTAAGGTAGTTAAGAAGCAGGAAAGAGCCCTAATTCTTGGTTTGGAGTAGTTCTGCCCCAGGTAGGCATCTCATTTAAAAAGAGACTGCACACATGGGGGAGTTGACTGTGGGCTTTTACTTTGCATGTTTATCTGCATAACTTTCACCACTGCAGGGTGGTAAAATGGGCTAGTTTCTGCTGAAGAAGCCTCCAGTACCTATCCTAGAGAGGTCCCCAAACCAGAAAGATGCCATCAAATTCTCTTCTCCCAGTGCTCGGTGGCGAACGATGCAGCTGGCTGAGGAGTTGGGCCCATAGGCCAGGACTGTCAGGGTGCTGGTCGTGCTCCATTTCTTCCCATCAGCTTCTAACTTGTGCTTAGTGTCACCTACACAACAATGGAAGACAATATTTAAGTGTTTTCTAGTCGAGAGCGATTGAATGAAAAACCTCCCAGGCACAATCTGCATGACTTTGCTGTGCTAGAGCAGCACCTGATTGCTGTGCACACGTGGATCCCTGGGTAAAAGGATTTGATGGGAGCCCAAAGGCAGCAAGGTCATGTTTTCATAGAATCACAGCCTGGTGGGGGTTGGAAGGGACCTCTGGAGATCATCTAGTCCAACCCCCCTGCCAGAGCAGGATCCCCTAGAGCAGATCCCACAGGAACACGTCCAGGTTTGAATTGCTCCAGGGATGGAGACTCCACAGCCTCCCTGGGCAGCCTGTCCCAGGGCTCTGCCACCCTCAGAGTCCAGAAGGATTTTCTCCTATTCAGGTCAAACCTCCTGTGCTCCAGTTTGTGCCCATTGCCCCTTGTCCTGTCACTGGGCACCACTGGGAAGAGTCTGGCCCATCCTCCTGCCACCCCCTGCAGATATTGATCAGCACTGATCAGATCCCCCCTCAGCCTCCTTCTCTCCAGCTGAGCAGCCCCAGCTCTCCCAGCCTTTCCTCACAGGCAGATGCTCCAGCCCCTCCAGCATCTCAGTGCCCTGTGCTGGGCTCTCCAGCAGCTCCTTGTCCTTCTGGAACTGGGCAGCCCAGACCTGCTCACAGAGCTCCAGGTGGGGCCTCAGCAGGGCAGAGCAGAGGGGCAGGAGAACCTCCCTGACCTGCTGCCCACACTCTTCTCAATGCCCCCCAGGATGGCATTGGCCTTCTTGGCTGAGAGGGCACATTGTTGGCTCCTGGTCAGCCTGTTGTCCATCACATTTTCCTTCTTTCTGTTTAAGTGCAGACCTTGCTGCACCTCCTGTGCTCAACCCAGAGCCTCTGCTCAGTTTCATGACTTACATGGGGAAACTGTTCTGCAGGGAAATGTCCAAACACCCACCAGCACTTTTAGTCCTGTCTGAACATACTAAATGGCTTTGCTGAGAGCCTCAGCCATGCATTGCCCTCATAGGGAGCTTCAGGGCAAGAACCTGCTGCTTTGCACCTTGACTGAGGTCTAGAAAAGTTATTCTGCTCTGTGATATCCAAGGGCATTGAATTTGTGTCTTAATTTGGGTAGTTATCCCAAAGATTAAAAGTTGTAGTGCAATATTTGTGCATATTGATAAACATGCATGGTAAGTATTGATGTGAAATATTTACATTTGTAATAAATAAACGTTTCTATAACTCTGGGAAATCCTGTGCAAGTCCTTCATCAGCCCTACAAGGCAGGGTTGATCCTTCTCCTTTTGCAGCTCTGGGGAGTTAAACACAGAGATTAATGGTCTTGCCTTCATTAATCATGAATTAGAGAGAGCCATGTCAGTTGTCTGTTGTAGTTCCTAGTCCTCTTGGTAATATTGACTTCTACTTATTGATCTGATAGGGAAAAATAAAGAGACATTTCACGTGACCCTAAGATGTTTACCTTAAATGCCCATGGTGGGACACTGATTTCTACTGTCTATAATGTCTATAGAGGTTCTCTGGGGACAAGCTGATGCCTTCTTTTGGTAACACCCTTATTTTGTAAATGAAAGAAATTCCTTGTTTCCCACTCAGCCTTTACAGATAACTTGCTGTGTCACACAGCCGAGTTATTTCTCAACCCTCTTTTCCATCCCCAGCAGGGTCATGCAGGAACTCCAAAGGATCTCAAAGTGTCTCTGCTAGGAAGGCAATCATCTTTGTCAGCACCACTCATTAATTACAGCTGGTTTGCCCCTGCTGAGCCCTGGTGGAACTCAGGTGCTGCTACTAATTAAGCTGTATTAGCTCCTTTCTGATTCCTATAAATATTTACAGTAAGTGATTAGAGCTGTGAAGGGAGAGCAGAGAGGTGTTTGTTGGGGTTGGTTGCTCTTAGGAAAAAGCTAAGGCAGAAAATTTGAGAAATAGTGAATTTCAGGTATTTTTCTCTGTTGAAGACTGGAATTAATGCCTGCAGGAAGCAGGACACCCATGCTAGTGCAAACAAACTGGGCCCAGAACCAAGCCCAAGTACTCACAGGGAAGGCAGGTGAAATGATGTTCTGCTCCCCAGGACCTCCCCCCAAAGGCTTCCCAGGCTGCTGCTGCAGCAGGAGACACAAGGTAAGTCCCCCTTTTTGTTTGGTGAAGTGGAGAATATGTGTGGTTGGCTTTACGTGTGGTGGGATGTGTTCAGTGCCTGGGTGGTGTGGTGTTGTAAATAGATTTTTATCAAGCTGGGCTTGAGGTTGTTTCCAGTTTGAGGCAACCCCTGCTCTTAAAGTGCTGGGGAAAAAGTGTGTGATAACTTAGAGGTGACGTGGTGTTTCCCTGAGCATCTTCAGAACCTCACAGCTGGTATTTCCCTGGGCATTTCTAGCCATACACTGCCCAGGCTTTTCCCAAAAGCATTTGGGATTTTACAACCTGTTTTTCTAAGGCTCACACGTGGCTCAGAGCACCTCTCTCCCTGCCATGGCTTTCATCTGGCTCACTTACCAGCTGTACTGCTTCTCCTCAGCACAGCTCTCTCAAGCATAGGGGTTTGGGTGGTTCCATTAATGCCTCTGTACCTGGCAGCCTGCATTTTTTTGTTAGTTTGGAATTCCAGCTGAATTCAAGCCAGCACACTTCTTGTCTTCTGGAGCTCTTAGTTTAAAAAAAGCTATCTGGAGGGGGTGGGGGAAAGATTATAGGCTGAGCTTTGACTGTGGCTTGATGCAAAATACAAACAGCAGCTTGTTAATGCATTAATATACATTTGCATCTAAGGGTATTTTCCTCACACCAATACAGAAGTGCATTTCCTCTCTGCTGTGCTATAGTTACAGCAAGGCAGGTGGTTATTATTAGAACACAGCCTTTGAAGCAGCTATTTGTATAGTTCACACATTAGGTTGAGCTACATGGTGGCTCTGCTCCTCTTCACGTCTGGCCACCATGACGTGTTGCAGGGTGATGTGACTTTTCTGGGCTCTCTTCTTGCCTCTGCTGCTGAGCTGCCTGGCTCTGGAGAGGTTAATGAGAGAGAGAGGCTGCTGGGGAGTGTGTGTGCTCAGCCAAGCTGAGGAAAACCTGCCTCCTGGTAACAACATGGGAAATAGTGGTCATGGATGTGTTAACCGGATGGGGCTTTGAAGCTTGTGCTTCTGGAGTTTTGGTTCCATTTTATTTTGGTGGGATTTTGCTCCAGGCTCTCAGGGGTGTTGGTGTGCTCAGTGGTGCTGTGTCAGCAAAGCAGCTGGGCCCTCTCCCTTGCACAAACACTGGAATTTAGTGCTGACTTTTCTCCAAACCTGCACCATGGGGGCCCAGTTCTAACTCAATGAGTGGAGGACGAATGGTTGTCCCAGCTCATGTGTTGCAGAAGGTGTTTCACCCTCCAGAATTTTTCTATGTGCCCAAGGCTGCTGATAAGATATTGTTAGTGATCAATCCCTGCTCCTTGAACACTTACCAGGGAGCTCTATCCCGTTGTCCAAAAGCCAGGAAACCTGGGGCTGTGGTTTGCATCCTTGGGTGTAGCAAGACAGTATAATAGTTCTTTCTCTGCCCTGGGACACTTCCAGTACTGGATTAGAAGGAGCAGCTGCAGCAATAAGATTTAGAATCAGTTATTGTACATCTTTCTACTTGGTTTTGCAAATGGCTGCATACACAGGAGTGTTTGGGAGGGGACTGAGTTAAAAGCAGGGTTGTGTTGTGTGAAGCACCATGGAATTGCATGTTAATGTGCAGGTCTGGAGTTGAGGAGCTGCCTTTGTTGTTCTGACTGTGAGAAAAAAACTTCTGGACTCTGAGGGTGGCAGAGCCCTGGGACAGGCTGCCCAGGGAGGTTATGGAGTCTCCATCCCTGGAGACATTCCCAACCTGGCTGTGTTCCTGTGGGATCTGCTCTAGGGGATCCTGCTCTGGCAGGGGGGTTGGACTAGATGTCCAGAGGTCTCTTCCACCCCCCACCATAATCACTCTGTGATTGTTTCTCTGGAACAAAGCAGCTGCAAGAACTTACCTAATACTTCAACAGTCTTGTTCTTGCTTTTGAATGGGATGCTGTAGTAGAAGCATCTATAGATGCCTTCATCATGCACTGTTACATTAGACAGCTGGATGGTCAGTTCATCCTTTGAATACTGGACAAGTTTGTACCTCCGATCTCTTAAACCTGCAAAGAAAATAAAACCCAGCATGCTGTGTGTGGTGGTAGATAAGAGGAAGGCAGATAATCAACAATGAAAGGATAGTTTTCCTAATCCTGGTCTTTAAAGTCATCAACACTTAATGTAAAGTAGCAGTTCTGGCCTAAAGTTTTCCTAGTTGGTGCTGTGCTAGAAAAGGGGCAGCAATAAATAAAAGAAGAGGCAACAATAAACCAAAGAAGGGGCTGTGTGTGCTGCCAGTGGGGATAATGCCATGTTTTTTTCTTGCTTTTATTCTTAGAGTCTTATTCCTGGGGTTCCAGGAATTAGAGCAATTTGGGTTCTTTAAGTGTCTAGATGGATAGATATAAGCAAACCTTGGGGTGTGAGGACATGATATGCAGTCAGAAAAGTGGTGTGCCCTCTGAATACAGGGCATAGATGCATGAATTGGGGACCTTTCCCTTCCCTGTTTCCCAAGCCTTAATTTGCCCCTGAAAAAAAAAATCACTTCCCCTCTCTGGGTGTATTTTGAGATATCTGAATGAACACCCTGGTCAGCACTCCTCTTGCTATTAACTGCTTATTAATTGGCTGCTTTGCTTCTCATATCTTTGCCTAATTACCTTGATTTGAATGAGATCATCTCCGAGGATGTTTGCACCCTGCTTTGCAGTCTCCTTTCTCTCTCAACTTTCTAGTCTTTGCTTCATCCCTCCTTCTGGATGACCCATGGGAGTCCTGGGGGCCCACAAATCACAGTTTCTTTCCCCACAGTTGCAGTACAGGAAGTGTCACTTTCTGCCCTTAAATTGAACTGAAACTGGGGACATGCACCACTCATGAGGGAGAATAAAACCTCAAACTCTGTATTTTTAATTCTTTTTTTAGCTGAGGTCTTGTAAAAATAGAGAGTTGGGAGAAAATCACAGTAATATTATAATTTATGGAAGTGATTAGATACTCAAGGGTTTTGAAATCACCATGATATAGAACTCATAGGTAGCTTGTCATGTTTGTAGCTCCAGTGAGGCTGGAGGGAACTGATTCATGAAGTGGTTTATTGGAGAAGTGATGGGACAGATTCACAGGGGTGACTAGAATAAAAAAAGTCCATGTGCAGTGTCAAGCTTGGTTCCTTTCTAAGGGAGGACTTTTTATTTTGTCTTGCAAAAGGCAAACATTCCATGTGCCTGATCTACTGAGGGCTCAAATGAATTCAAAATTCAAATGTAAAAAATGCTTTGCAAACCCTGGTTCTTGGGGGTGTTGCATTGGGTGTCTTAATGAAGGATAACTGTGGGATGTTGAGACTTTGGGTTGAATCCTCAGGTGATTTAAGGCAGATCCTGGTTTGTTTACTTGGGTTAGGTTCTGCTCCTGTAGGCACCAGGGGTGTGTTCTTAGCCTTATTAAATTGTTGTGTCAACTCAGCAAAACTTCAAGTATCAAAAGGACTAAAGCCATTAAAAGATGAAATGTTTAAAACTGGATTTGGGCAGAATCAAGTCTCTTAGTCCAAAATTGGCACAGAGAATGTTTGTGGCTGTAGCCAGGGCCCTAGAAAACTTGGAGAAATGAAGAAATTCTTGTTACTCTTGCCTGCTTCTATGGTGTAAAATACTAAGAACAAACATACAAAAAATAGGTGTGATGGAGAGGTCTTGCAGTTTTGGGGTGTATGATGGGACTAATAGATTAAAAGATGGGAGAGAAATCCCTGTCATAGACTGCTGTGGGTTTTGGAAGCCTGGATGGCAAAGCAGCACAGGGTGGGTTGCAAGAGTCCTGTTTCTCATACTGATCAGCTGTAGGTGGCTCAGCTCTGAGGGGGTTTGGATCACATTTTAATCTATTGGCTGATGTGTATTATATTGAGAATACTGAGCTTGGGATCCTGGATTCCACAGGAGACAGTTCCCAATGCATGTGTATAATTGTTAATTAACGCTCATCCCACTTGCTGTTGTAACTGAGTAAATAGCAACAGTTCCTTGTGACATTTGTCATTTAGAATTAGTGGCAATAATTGTGGGAAATATTAGTAGGCTGATTGGATGTGGGTGGAAGACCTGGGGGTTGGGATTCCCAGAGCAACTGAAGTGGACCCTTAGTTCCTGGGCAGCTTCAATGGGAGTTGAGTACCAGTGTCATTTGGATAAGTCCCAGTTGTTATTCAGGGCTTTAATTATCCCAAAGGCTTTAACAAGCAGGGATGCTGACTAGGTACTGTAAACATGGGGAAGAGCAAAGCAGCCCTCATAGAATCATGGAATGGTTTGGGTTGGAAGGGACCTTCAAGATCATCCAGTCCCACCCCCCTGAATGGGCAGGGACACCTCCCACCAGCCCAGGCTGCTCCAAGCCCCATCCAACCTGCCCTTCAACACTGCCAGGGATGGGGCAGCCACAGCTTCCCTGGGCAACCTGGGCCAGGCTCTCACCACCCTCACACTCCACAATTCCCTCCTCGTGTCTCACCTCAATCTCCCTCTTCCAGTTTTCATCCCTTCCCCCTTGTCCTCTCCCTCCCTGCCCTTGTCAGAAGTCCCTCCCCAGCAGAAGAGCACCCAGCATTTCAGGCACGTTCACTCCTGTGTCTCTTGTAAGGCATGAGTGTGTTTTTGTGCTAATCTCTTCTCACTTCATTGCTCCAACCTCTGGTGCCAGACCAGTCCTGTGGGTGTTTCCATTTCATCACCCTCCTGCCAGGCAGGGGCTGAATGAGAGCCCATCAGGAGGGCTTGGGTAGCAGGTGAGTCAGGCTGCTCAGGGGTGGGAGCTGGGAAAGCCCAGTGCTCAGTGACCCCCCTAGCCCCCATGGGAAGTGCTGCTTTCAGGTTTCACACTTACCCCGCTGGCTGTTCAGAAAAATGGCAAAGCCCTGAGGGTTCAACCACTGCCGGGCAGAGCTGCTGTCACTGCTGAGGGTGCAGGGGAGATGCAGGTCTTCTCCTTCCTTTAGAGTTGTGGTTTCACTGCCAGCTCCTGGAAGATCCCCTGCCAGAGATGAGGGGGGGAAAAACAAGTGTTAAAATGTGAGGTGAAGTGGCAGGGTGTTGCACAGAGCCATGTGGCAACTTTTAGTTCTCTGAACTGGAGCAGCTCTGCTCTGGAGCCAGGCTGGGAGAGTTGGGGTGTTCAGCCTGGAGAAGAGAAGGCTCCAGGGAGACCTTAGAGCACCTTCCAGGGCCTGAAGGGGCTCCAGGAAAGCTGGGGAGGGACTTGGGACAAGGGCAGGGAGGGAGAGGACAAGGGGGAAGGGATGAAAACTGGAAGAGGGAGATTGAGGTGAGACATGAGGAGGGAATTGTGGAGTGTGAGGGTGGTGAGAGCCTGGCCCAGGTTGCCCAGGGAAGCTGTGGCTGCCCCATCCCTGGCAGTGTTGAAGGGCAGGTTGGATGGGGCTTGGAGCAGCCTGGGCTGGTGGGAGGTGT